TACACGCCCGGAGGGTTTCCTTGGTGACATCGATACCTGGAACAAGGCAGAGGCCAAGCTGACGGACGCCTTGAACGAGTTCACAGCTGCCGGTGGTGGCGCTTGGGAGCTGAACCCTGGAGATGGTGCCTTCTACGGTCCCAAGATCGACATCACCATCTCTGATGCTTTGAAGCGAGAGTTCCAGTGTGCTACCATTCAGCTCGACTTCCAACTGCCCAACCAGTTTGAGCTCGAATACATGACGTCCGAAGTCATTCCCACAAAGTCCAAGGACCAGCCTCAGGCTCAGGAAGGCGGACACATTGAGCAGAAGAAGGAGAAGCTGGAAGGCGCCGACGTCACAATCCCCAAGAAGATCAAGGAGCCGCAACCAGGTTACGCTCGCCCTGTTATGATTCACCGTGCTATCTACGGATCCTTCGAGCGATTCATCGCGTAAGCTTCAGTCCCTACGAATTGCTCGAACATGTTCACTGACAAGAGTAGTATCCTCACAGAGCACTTTGCCGGACGATGGCCTTTCTGGCTCTCACCTCGTCAGGTCATGGTCATTCCCGTCATGCCTGGCGCGAACGACTACGTCAAGGAAGTACAGACAGCGCTCCGCAAACACCACCTCCACGCCGACATTGACATCAGCGGCAACACCATGCAAAAGAAGATCCGCACAGCGCAACTCGCACTCTACAACTTCATCATGGTCGTTGGTGCCGAGGAACAACAAGCAAGGGCTGTGAACTGGAGAAACCGCGACGACCAAGAGACACAGCAGCGTGGTGTCATCGTGCCTCTCGATGAGGCGATAGAGAAGCTGGTCAAGTTGAGGGATGAGCGCAACATCGAGAACAAGGTCTAAATTCTAGGTGGTAAGATATATCAGCAAGATGCATGGGAAGGCGTACGAGGTATGAAGATACGATTTGATGAAGGTGGAAAAAGGTAGTGGAGTGCTTATGGACCTTCAGTGTCGGTTACAATATGGACCAGAAGTTGACCACAGCTATATCATCGCATGATAGATCTCGAATGAAGTACGTTTGAGCGATGACTGTTGCCTGCTATGCTCAGTGTCTCGAGTGAGTCAGATGCCGTGGTTTATCAAAACGACTATTGTGGATAACTGAGAAGATCACGTCTCATTTAGCAACGACTCAGAACCCGGCGCATATAGCTATGTTCACTGTGACACGTGCAAATGAACATCAAAAGTGAAGTGCTAAGACAATACAAGTATCAAGATTCAAACGAAACAGACAATCTGTAAGTGGTATCTAGCGAGCGCGACGAATGATGGAAAGCATGCTTGCAACGCCGTGCATAGGTATAATGAGAACGCCTCGCGCAAAACAATACAGCAACTCGTCAACTCCATCGTAATCAGATTCGTATCCAACTTTGTCATCTCCTCTGCTCATCCCCTTGAGAGCGTGTGAACATCAGTATACAGCATCCTGCAGACTACCATCCACCCCTAACCCTCCTAACCTTCTCCTTGCCACCAACGCGACCAGCGGTGATGCGACGGACCCATCGCCTGATAGCCCAGCCTCTGGCCAAGGCCTGGAAAGCCAGGACGTCGCTTTCCAGTTGTTGACGACGGGCATCTTGGATTCCCTTCCAACGTCGCTGAATGATTGTGGCGGCATCGACCATCTTCTGTCGAGCCTGTGCTACTACAGCGCAGTCGTGCGCTATCTTCATGGCTTGGATGCGAGTGCTGATCTGGCGACGGAGGAGGAAACGACGGACAGCTGCCTGGATAGTAGACGCGGCGCGGTGTGTACGAGCAAGTGGCAATAAGCGACTAGCCAGGAAGGACAGTGTGAGGAGGGTGAAGTCTCGGCTTGGGATGGAACGAGCGGTGTTGTGCTGCGGCGTGAAGAGCGCAATGAATGAGGTTGAGCAGCCGACAGCCTTGAGCTTTGCTGCCAAACCAAGACGTCCGGTTCCTTCAGTGGAGATGGTCAGGTTTGAGGGCAAGTAAGTGTCGACAATGACCTCTAGGACCTTTGGATCCGCGAAGCTCGTTGTCAAGTTTGCGACGCGCAAGCCATGGAGACGAGCAATGGAGCGGGACCAAGAAAGAAGAAGACGCTTGTGGTATGCCATGCCGTCCAGCTCAGAAGTCTCTTCCTCTTCGTTCTCAGAATCGAGGACTCGTCCCTCGTAGCTGTCTCGGGCTCTGTACCACTGGTTGCGGAAGCGCTCCGTCTCCTTGACCAGCTGCGGCCAGTCGACAAGACTTCCAAGGCCACACTTGCCGACAAGGGACCAAAGAAGCGAAAGCGTCTTCTCGCGATGTCCGTCAACGATATCTTCGGCTCGAATGCCGCTGACCGCTGCGCTAGGCATGCCTGACACATTGCTCAATGCAGCCAGGGCGACCTGGACGTTGTAGACCTTCTGGGGACGGCCAATGGCCGGGTATTTGAGGTGTTGGGAAAGGACCCAGGTGTCCTTCTGCGAAGGGTCGAGGGAGCTGCTGAGAAGCTCACCGCTGGGTAGGCTAAGAGTGACGGTGTCGTCATGCTGTATTCCAGGGGTGATAGACGGGTAAAGTAGTAGCTCTACAAGACGAGTGAGTACGATGCCATCCCGGAGGTCGATGGCGATGTTGTCGATCTGATAGGTGTACTCCTGTAGTGGATACTGAACATGTTCGACCTTGTAGTTGAGGTGGTTTAGGGGCCGAGTAATGTCGCCGTGCGAAGGTAGCAGCATCTTCGATAGCTGATGGAGGACCTCCACAGACGTCTTGTATGATGACGTTGTCTGGAAAAGGCAGCCTGGCAAAGCGTCCGTTGTCTTCGCTTGGTCGAGGATGAGAACCAGCATCAGACTTCGCAGTGCAGTACGCCGCCACGACCAGCCTTGGGAGCCGAAGTCATCATCACCACGTGTAAGGCTTGCAATGCTGCCGCCCCCAGATTTGACCCTGACAGCGTCCTCGTTCTTGATGAGAAAAGCGGACAGGAAGCTTTCGATCGCCCGACGCTCTGCGCGATACTGGCGAGAGCCATCATCTGAGCATGTTGAGCCTGTGGACAGTCGGCAGGGCGTTGTGATTTGGCGACCGACAATAGTCTCAGCCGCGGCACGTAGTGCGGTGAGATCGTATGACTTCGTCCACAGGTTGAGGAACTTCTTGCGCAGTCCGACGTCGTCCTTGAGTCTAAGTGTCTGAGCGAGGAGGTCCTTCGGTATGCTCAGTGCGCCGAACTGAAGCGAAGCCTGTAGTCGCTTGTGAAGTGATGGCATTGCAGGATCGTGGTAGATGGCAAGCATCTTCTTGCGCATCTCCTCCGGACTCTGTTCCGCGTTCGGGTCCTTGGCCGCCGAGTCAAACACGGAGTTGAGAAGCTGCGTGATGGCGACTTCCTGATAGGTGAGCCAGTTGTCCTCGTACAATTCCGGCTGAGCCAGATCCTCTTGCAGTACTGGGTACTTGTCTCTTGATTGCGGTCGCTGGCCCACTTCGTGCAGCATGGTGATACTGCTCGCGACACTTCCGGTCTTCTGACGACGCAGAGCTGTGGGTGGAGACTTGTCGGTGTGGAAGGGCGAGGAAGACAGTGGTGCGCGCTTCGCCTTCGCCAATTTCGCTCGTTCGGTCTTGATCGTCGTCCTCAAAGATGCCCTGCTTGTTGCGGCAGAGGCGGTGCCGTCTGCTCTTGCCTTGAGCGCCTTTGCTGGTGCATCGTCTTGAGCCACGTGTGACCGTGGTCGTTTCTGGGATCCCTCCGGCCTCTTCTTGGTGTGTAGTATCCGTTCGGGCTCTTTCGGGGCGTTGAAATGTACTTTGGGTGCTTTTGCGTCGGGCTTCTTTGCATCGGCCTTGGTGAAGTTGATCTCGATGTGTACTCCGTTCTTCTTCTTCTCAGTAGCCTCCATTCCCGGTGGAAGGTTCTCTTTTCCTCCTCCTGAGCCCACGACGTCACTCGAGAAGGATGAACCCTGTGACGAGCGCGATGCGGTACTCAGAGGACCTCGCTTCGGTGGTGCAGCCAGAGACTTGCGCGGTAGCTTCTTCTCCCTCTTCAACGCTGGCATGAGGTTGTTCCCTTCCTCCTCGGAAAGTGTGACCAGATCAAGTCCGATATCTGGTGACGGCTCCCGAACGTTGCGCGACGCGTGTGTAGGCTGTCCCGGATGGATGGTGAAGACTGACGTGTCATCAGACGGTATGTAGATGGTCCTCCGTCGCACGTCTTTCTTAGGGGCCTGCTTCTTGAGCTCCTTCCTCTCCAGAACGTCCTCTTGTAGCCGAACAGTCGCATTGACATCCGTCGCATGCCTGTCGCTAGGTGCGTGCGAGACACGTCTTCGATGCGGCTTCTCCACTTGTGGTTCCTGGGCAGGCGCGACTGCCTTGGGTATTCTCTGCGCGGGGTGCGCAAGTATGGTGCTCTTCTTTGTCCTCGCAGCGGCGGGAACAACGCTGGCGCGGCTCCTCCTCTTGACCGCAAACTCGGCTTGCTGCTGCTCTTCCTCCTGCGCGACATCCTCGAAGATGTCCAGCGAGGGGTTGAAGGCAGGCTTGTGTGTGGCACGCATCGGTCGTCGCGGCTTGGCCTGGCGGGGCTTCAGTTCGGTTGTGTATTCGAGGTTTGCTGTCGTGTTGTTGTCGTCGAAGTAGGAAGGCGCGTAGTGGCTGCCATAGCCGCTGTAATAGCTGCCCGTGGAGGAATAGGGCGCCGGGCAGGGAGTGCCTGCCGTGTATCCGTACATGGTGGCGGGTAGTTGAGTCGGTCTGCTGGCAATGTGTTGTCGCGCCGGCGCATATAGGTTGTGAGGGATCCTCGTCCAAGAGCGTTCAGGATCAGTTGCGTGGGCGCACGCTTAGCCCGTTGTGGCGCGGCAAGCGGGTCCCGTTTATCAACACTATCAACAGTGTCGACCGGGCAACAGCAGCCCTGCCAAACATCCGAACGACTATCACTAACTTGACGTCACTAGGCATGACGCGCTACCATAGCATACCATACAATACAGTGCATCTAAGGAATGCCCCGACCCGCTCTGATGGCTTTGGCCGCTTCCGACTGTGCTCTGTCCTCTGCATACCGCTGATAGATCGGCAAGTAATGCTCCCTCTCGCTCAGCGTTTCTTTGACGCTCTTCCTGCTCTCCACAGCAGATAGCCATTTCCTGAACCGCTTCCAGACCTCTTCGTCGTCCCCACCTTTCCCTTCATCAGGAATGCCCGACCCACCCTTGAAGTGGTCGAACACCCACAGCCTGTTTCCCCATGGGGCCAGAACAATGTCAATAAGTCCAAAGTCCTTGCCTGAGAAGTACGGCCCCTCAGCATCCATCTCACGTGTGAACTCTTTGAGATGGTTCAAGAATTCCTTCTGCTTCTCCTCCAAGCCATCGCCCTGATGTTGCAGAAAACGGTGGTAGGCAGGGATGATGCGACTGCCTACATAGTCGGTCCAGATCCTCGTCCTAGCTCTCTGATAGGGTTCCGTCGGCATCAGGTGCGGTGTGTGCTGAGGGAATGCCTCTTCCAGGAACTCGCAGAGAACAGTACTCTCATAAAGTGGCTTGTTCTGGTATTGCAGCGTTGGGACTAGACCACGGGGGTTGAGATCCAACAGAGACTGTGGCTTGTGGTACGGGTTGACCTCAATATACTGGTACTGTATACCCTTCTCCTCTAGCGCTATCCATACGCGCTGCACAAAGGGACAGAACCATCCCGAGTACAGTTTCAGGGGGCACTCGGCTGAGTGAGCCTTCGAATATTAGCAACGAAGAAGATACTGTAGGTGTGCGTTTGCTTACTTTGACCGTCGCTGCTGCAAGTCCTGTCGCTTCAGGATGAAGGTCCGCGTCAGGATGATCTTTGCCCATGGTAGTGGTGATGGTAGTAACCGGAGTTGTGCAAGTATAATGTAGCTGTTGACAAAAAGTATGCTCTTAGGCATATGGCGACCCCTCAAAGGCTATATAGCAGCGATCGCCATCTTTATGAACTTCGACGCCATATACATGGATCGATCACATCATCGTCAAACGTCGTGGCCATGACGAAAGTGGGGTAGCCTCCAATCGCAGCTATCCACCTTCGGAAGCTCGTTTACACATCCCGTCAAGCGCACATGCATGTATGGACGGTGATTGCTTCCATGCTTTTCAATGTGTGCACTGTTTTGCACATCACGCCTTTTATATATACATTTTCGAAGTGCATTGCATCGCGCGTGTGTCATTGAATATGGTTATTATTGTAAATCTGCAAGCCTTCATAGCTTCGATGAGGATCTACCAAGATCTCAACATATTCCCATTGCATTAACAGTGCTTATGTGCACTTACATCGACCTGGCCTTCTCCAAATCCGCCTCCTTGAGTTCCCTCAGCTTGCCGGTATTGGCAACGCCACCTGTGACATTCGCGCTGATGATCTCCTTGGCGTAACCCAAGAGGCCGACATCTGTCACGTAGTACGAGACGTACTTGCTCTTGATCTCAATCAAAGTCATGCGGGGGTCCTCGGGGCCACCAGTGTGCTTGCCATCACCGAGATCACCGAACCATGCTGCAGCGCCACGGCTCCATACCTCCTTGATGCGGGGGTCGCTGTTGTCTGTTGTTGTAGCAATTCCTGTGATGGAGGCCCACTCTTGTGTCTTCAAGTCCTGGAACGAGATCTGGACTTCTTTGTTTTGGTTCAAGTCGTTGAACTTTTGCGAGTGGTTGTTGGCGAGGAAGAGGAAGTCGGGACCGTCGCGGCGGGCGAGGGCCATGGAGCGACCGACAGGACCTAACAATGGTTAGTCTAGAGCTACGTGGGATGGAACTGAGGGGAGAGCTTGAAAGTGCAGAATGTAGAGGTGAACATACCGACACCATTGCGGTATGTGTTGAGCATGCAAATCTTCTTGCCGTCTACCATCTCAAAGAACTGCTTGATCTGCTGGTCCTTGGGGGTCTCATCGTCGTACTGCTTCGCGACAGAGGGGTCGGTCTTGGAGTTGACCTCGCTAGCCTTGAGTTGGTCCGGCATTCTGGAGATGTGTGTAGTAGAGAAGTATCGAGGAGTAGTTGTTTTAATGGGTGTTGAAATGCGAGTTGCAAGTTGAATTCTGGGTAGAGCTGTTCGTGCGGAGCGTACAAGTAGTCGAGGACCAGCAGACATCTTGGTATAGGCTGCTCGTGATATGTACGTGGACGTAACGGTGAGATCAGAGGGTCAAGTAACAGCGGATATTCCACGCCGACGCGAGCCCATGTGGCTGGTCGAGGGGCGCCTCATAAGCAGCATGACGTCGTGATGGAGCGCGTTCGGTGGGCTGGGGCACACTGGGTGGAGGTGGAGGCATTCTAGACATATGCATGACGATGTTGTTAATTCGCGTTAGGTGCGCGGCACGCTAAGACGCGCCCGATCGATCTCTCCGGTAGCTGCCTTCGGGGCCGGTGTGCACAGAGTCCGAAAGGCGCTCGTATACACGCATCTCATGTGAGAAGATGCCGTCTCGCCGAAGGGCGCGATGGTATTCGTTCCTTGCAAGGTACGAAAGGGTGGGTGGGTCTCAGCATTGGTAGCGGTCCTGTTCCGCACTGCAGCGACTACGCATGTCCGAAAGGAAGGCTAACACGTCCAAGATGTCGCTTCATCTTGATAAGTAGGAGGCGTAACGTACATCCATTCATCTAAGCATCTATTCATAGATAGAGTGTCTGGCTAACACATCAAACCGCCCTCCCAAAGTGGTCGCTCGCGACATCACTGCGGTCCCAACGCTCATCGTCGAGTCTTCTCTCTGTATTCAGTTCAATGGTCTTCGTTGCGGTCATTTCGATCCTTCCCTCGTCAACCCCACCAGTACTACTGCTCGCATTATCGTCGCTCAATCGGTGAAACTTGCCAAACTCGGAGACGTTCCCGAGCTCGAAGACTTCAGGCTGCGTGTGGGTCGATGTGAATGTTCTTTTGACATGACTTCTTGTCACACCGACAGTAGACTTTGTATGTGTAACGAAGCCCTGTAGATGGAGGGCCTTGGCAAACATCCGAAGAAGAGGTTTGAATGAGAGGGCACAAGCGCTGAGAAGATACATGCCGGGCTCTATCATTGTCCAGTTTATGAGCGCAACATGGTTCCATGTTACATCTGTAAGAGGACCGGCTTCTGCGAGGGTCTGGGCGAATACGACGGTGCGGATTATGGATGCGACGATACCACTATATATCGGTCAGCTACGAATAAGGCCTGGGAAGTACAACTGGCAACTTACACGCTTCCGGTCAGGAAAATGAGTAACAGCCCAATCCTTCTTCCAACACTGATCTTCAGACACCACACTGTTCTTAGAGGTAGTATCAAGACGGCCAAATCGGTTGCGATGTTAGGTACGCTAGAGCTGTTCGCGAAGACTTGAACGTTGAAGCATCTTCCGTTCGGAATGTTCTTGTCCCAATTGAACCTGAAAGGCATGCACTGGAACCCGACAGCTACGGTGAAAGAGATCCACGTAGAAAGAATGAGAACGAGTAGCGTCTTAGCAGCCAGGCGCTCGTACTTGTTGGTAAGGATATGCAAGTAGAGCAGTACAACGGTGAGCTTTGGGAATGCGACAGCTGCTGGATGCAGGACCTCTTGTATCATAATGCCTTTGAAGTGCTCGGATATCTTTGCCGGATCTGTGGACGCAATGTAGGCCATATGTCGTCCAGTGCTGGCTTTTTCGACCATGACTGATTGATATGTTAGCTGGCGCAAGCAGTCTTCAAGGCGTTGCATGCTTACCGATACCAACAATGCAAAGGCCCACCTCAGCTAGCCATGCAAAAGGAACGAGAACATCTTCGATGTTCAACGCGGTACTCGTGAGATAGCGTGAGTAGTAACGTAAGGCAACAAAAGATGTGCAGAAAAAGATCAGCAGGCAGGCTGTCGCTTTGATAGTTGGGCCTCGATCCTCGGCCAGAAACTCTGGCGAGGTATATTGCGATAGACTCATAACAAAACTAGAGAACCTTCAGCTGCCAAAATGACTACCAGAGTCACGTATTCGGCAATCTGAAAGTAGAAAGAACGGCCACGAGCCGACCGAGCGCATATCCTGTGGGTGGGGCAAGCATCAAATACTATCGCCACAAGTCATCTTTGCGGCGCGGTATGTGTTCATGGGATCTGGCTGGCCAGTGTATCAGAGATGCAGAAGCACCTAGCGTGTCTGTGCTAACCTCGAGGCATGTACCTTGGTCGAGGAGATCTGAACCATTGAGATAGCTCTGGGGAACGCACCATAATGGATAATGGGGATATCAGACGTGTTTGGGAAGACTACATAGGCTGATGCATTGTGACAGGTCGCATGTTGGTACCTGCAATCCCAAGTTGGCAGATGGGTTTTCTTCCGAGTTTCTGGGGTATATGTAAATAAGCTTATGGGCCTGTCGTTGGTATGACGTTGGACGAACGCATAGCTTTGCGATCACTAACTCGATAGAACCGATTACGACAAAGCAGAACTGTTCTTGATTCGTCGTCAGCAGTGCTGATTACCTTTTGTTGTTGGTGTTGGATGGGCCATCACTTCGTAGCAGCCGGTTGACCTTTCGAAGCATTGAGGGGATATCCGAGGCATGTGTGTGAGTGGAGGATACATTGGCCGTTGCCATGGATGAAACGCGCATATTCGCCCTGAATGCAGGCTGCAAGCGAGATCTAGTTTTCAACTCTGCCGCAGGGGATGTTCGTGTCGGGTCAACACAATACAGACCTGAAGGGGCTTAGGAGATCTGAAACGCAGTTTCCTGCGGCTTTTCACGTGCATGAACGGGTACATGAGGGTACCTTGCAGCCATCGGATCGCGAATATGGGCGACAAAGATCGCATGCGCTCTGAAATGAAGTGCTTCATCATGTATCCGGCCTTGATGTTCGTCGCGAGAAAGTTCGCAATCTCGTACAGAACCCACCAGCCGGAACCAAGGGCGTAAGGCGCTGGTATCAGTTGACGCGACACCAACACATTGTTGCACAGTACCTGCTTGTGGGAAGTCCCAAGAGGTTGGTGGTATGTTCAGAGCCAGTGACGTGAGTGCTCGGTTGGATAAAGTGATGAGTTGCAGTGAGGTTGTTGCCGCAAGACTGTGAGACACCCCGAGTCAGAGCCCCGCACGAGCCACAACGCACGCACTCGGATGACGAAGGAACCTTCAGCATGGAAAGAACCACGGCACAAATCCATCTGCAGATGTGCGAATTCTTCTGATGGAAGGACATGCAACGACCGCGCTCAGGCCATGGGCTCCGCTACGTAATCTACCGAAATCCTTCACTAACCATTTGCGCAGTGGAACGCCCTGAAAGATGCAGAATTCGAGATGTTCGCGCCCTTTTGCGATAAAGGGCGACAAACTGTTCATTTATGGATTCTTGATATATGACTTTCTCTCATGGGTTCATCTTCGGATACGACATCTCACTTTGCTTCCTTCCATCACGTACCTCTTCGTCATCAGTCAGCATGCCGAACGAAGATGCCGAAGTATATGCCCTTATACTTGAGGAGAACCGGAAGTGGATGGAGCAATATCCACTTCACGATAGCGATTGCGAAATCCATACGGCGGCTTACAAAGGCGATGTTGCTCTGGTCACATCTATACTAGAGAACAACACAACCGCCACCACGAACATCGACGCTCGTAACGGGAACGATTGTACCCCTTTACACCTCGCTATACGCGCCGATCACGGATCGGTTGTACAGCTTCTCTTGGAAGCTGGTGCAGATCCTACACTCAAAGACGACATCGAGCCAGCCTACCAAGTTTCGCTGTCTGCACTTGACCTTGCAGCTTGGCTGGGACAATCAAATGCATTAGCCGCGCTCCTCGACCACGATATCAGTATATCGCCATCCGCGCTATTTTTCGCCGCATCCAAGAATCACGTGGACTGCCTTGCCTTGATTCTAGAGAAGCGGGGAACTCGCGACTTCTCTGATATGTCCAGGCTAGAGGCTGTACGGCTAGCCATAGAAAGAGCGGCCTTGTGTTGGCATGTGGAGGCTTTTGAGCTACTTCTCCACTACTACCAGGCAAGGTTTTCAGATCCCGTACGCCTCAATGGAAATGGGACAGCCCTAGGAAAAGCCCTCATTTGCGCCCTTTACGACTACGACTGTGACGACCGATGCCGACCACCAGTCTTATGCTGCCCTCTGGACAAAAGCGTTTCTAGCATCATGGATAGTCTTGTCAAAGCTGGTGCTGATGTCAATACGCGTGACGATCAAGGTCGACACTCTACAGCTTTTTGGGCTTGCCTGCACATGTCGCACGTGCCGCGAGATGTTGTACGATTTCTTCTGGCCAACGGCCTGCGCGTCGATCACGTTGCGCCTGATGAGACTTCGCCGCTTTGCGGCATCATTCGAGACGCGGACGATGACCCGAGTCTTGTTGAGGATCTCATCAAGGCGGGAGCAAGCGTATCCGGTACGGACGAGGACGGCTACACCCCATTGCATTTGGTAGCAAATGCCTCATTCGCAAAAGTTCTCATCGCGAACGGCGCGGATGTTTCTGCTCGGGCGCTTCAAGGAGAGACACCACTTCACACAGCATGCGAGTCTGGCAACATATCAATAGTAAAGTTGCTACTTGATAACGGCGCGAATGTTCATGATGTCACTTCGGGAAAGACTGATCGTACCGAGATTGGGTGGACACCGCTTCGCTTCGCAGTCGAATTCTTCTCTCACTATTCCAACAGTAATGAAGAGCGCTTACAGCTAGTACAACTGCTTCATAACCATGGTGAATATCTGCACACCACTGCTGCAGATGGCTCGACAGCGCTGCATGGCGCCGCTCAGTTCGGCAACGAGAAGCTTGTCCGCTATCTGATCGACTCTGGCGCCGATGCGTGCGCCAAAACAACGTCTGGCATGAACACCTTACACTGCGCAAGTAAATCCATCGAACCAGGAGATGAAGTCAGGATTACATCAATCATCGATGTACTCCTTGAACACGGTGTTGAACTGAACGCACTGAATCAGGAGGGGGAAACCCCATTGCTCATGTCCGTTTCAGAAATTAACCGCCCAGTGGGATTTAGTCCTGCAGTATGCAATCTGCTGTTAGAGAAAGGTGCGGAGAGAACCGCAAGGAATACTGAGGGTAAGACCATGGTAGACATCGTGAACGACTCACATAGCTGGATTTTCGGAGAGGACGGACTCGTGCGGAAAAAACCTCCGCCAGTACACGTAGCGTCTAGTAGCAGGGGCAGAGGCAGGGGTAGAGGAGGGTGGCGATATAGTGAATGAAACCACATACGCCCTTTTGAAGATCGAACTTTACTTCAACATCACCATCAGAAGTCGTACATCATAGTCAATCCAAACAAAATTCAATTGTAGAAGCCGAAAACCATATCCAAATTAATCATACTACCAAGTAATCCAAAAAGCATCTGCTATATGCAGACATCGCTAGCAAAAACAAGATATGGGTATATAGATGCCGCCGTTAACAACCAAATAAAGAAAAGGGTATAACCAATAAAGAAAGGGGTATATCCTCGTCAAAGTCGTTAAAGCGTAAAGAATCGTAATCGTAGCCGTGATTACCGGGCCCCCAGGGCCGGATGCCAAGAGTGGAGAGAGAGAGAGGAAAAGAGATGCCGACCAACGCCAAGAACACAACAGAGTAGAGAGAAAAGTCAACCGGCAGGAACGCCAACATCTGTCAGCAAAAACAAGAAGCGGACCCGCAAGAGACAAAACGTGAAAAGAGAGGAACAACAGTTGTACAAACATAAAACAAACACCGACGGGATGATTCTCTAATCACCTCGTCGCATGAAGCCAAAGCGCTTCTTTTTCTTCGCGTCCTTGGCATCTGCCGTAGGCGCATTGGGGTATCCATTCAAAGCAGCCTCAGTGTTGAGACGTTCAGCTTCCTGGTAATCAAAGGGCATGTTCCAGCGTCTCTCGGGTATCTCTCCCAGTCTCGTGCTACCGGAAGCAAATGTATAGCTCGATGGTGTGGCTTTGTCCAGGCGGCGGCGGAAGTGGAGGGTTGCTGGGGCCTGGTCGAGGAGTGGTGGAGGGGATAGGTAGGAGGGTTTCTCCGGGACTGGGGGAGGCTTGGAAGAGACTGCGGGTTTGGAGTGAGCAGGAGATGGGGAGCGGCGGGATGTAGGGGTAAAGGTGGGGAGCTTGGGGGTGGGCTCGTTATGGTGCTTTGGGGAGGGCGATTTGGTAGTTGTGTGGGCGTTCTCTTGAGGCCATGGTTCGCGCGGGTCGTCGAAGGAATCAACGCGCTTTTTGACACCACCACTACTGGCCTTTGGTGCTGCGCCACCTAGCGTGCCTCTGATGACGCCAGATGTCTCGAGCTCGAACGGGTCGACAGGTACGTACAAGGGTAGCTGTGGAGCCATCTGGATCTTCTTTGGCTGAGGGGATGCCAGCGGTGAAGAGCTGCGAGATGAACTTGACGGCGATTTCACTGAAGAAGATTCCTTACTCGACGAGCTGCCCTTGCGGGTGGTCTTAGGTCGCATGACGACGAGCCGGGGTTCATTCGAGCTTCGGTTCTTCATGGGCATGCGTGTGACTACATGGCCCGAGGAACGTTGGCGAGTGGAGCTCGACTTCTTCTTCTCCTTCTCAGGGCTAGTGCTGCGAGAGGAGCAGTCGTGGTGTTTGCTTGTGCCACATCGCGGGCATGGTGGAGCGCCAATGTTATGCAGCTGGAGTTGAGATTGGCTTAGTCGCTGATATAACTGGGTAAGGCTTTGTATTGCTTCACGCCGCGATGCGTCGGACAGGTGGGTCAACGACTTGTAGTCTATGTCTAGGTGACCCTTTCCGCTTTTTTGCGCGTCATGGTTCAGGAACGCTGCGATGATGGCAACGAGGCCTGTGTTTAATTTGATCAATGTCTCTGCGAGTGACTGGTGCGCGATAGCTGCATTACGTTAGTACGGCTTATGTGTTAAGTGGACTTTGTACTTACCATCGCCCTTTGCGAATCGCGGCCCGATGCCGCTGTAGTAGCATTCAGTATACTTTCCGGCCACCTCCTCTGGCCCTCTGCGCAAGCTTTTTGAGAGTTGGTGCTCGGCAGTACTTGTTGAATCAGGCGTGTCGGTATCTCTCTTTGATCTGCGCTTTCTTCTTCTTTCGCGCAAGCTTTTGAAAATATCCAGTCCATTTTGAAAAGCTTCTATGATGCCTGAGACGCATGTAGATACCTCGGCCTCTTCAGGCCTACGCGCAACATGCGCATGGTCTAACTTGACCGCCATCGCTAAAACGCAAGACAACGAACAAGGAAAAGATGCAAAGCAAAATGGAACTGAAGAGAAGGGAAGAGAAAAGGACGATAGGTATACAAAATTGCAATAAACAAAGTGCGGTCTAAGCATCCATTAGCGAGAGTGAATGAAGAGTCATCCAAAAAGCCAAATCACAACGTTAACCTCAGTCGTGTTAAGTCGAGTCAAGTCGCCGTTAACACGCTCGCCCAAGACGGGGGCCCTTACACTTATTCCGTTGGCAGCCCGACCCTGGTCTGCACACGCCCTCGAGGGCTTACAAGTGTGTCGCAGGGCTTGCGTTCCTGCAGCTGTTACTGGGTGCTACCCACCGTCCTCGCACCGCCTAGGCCGCCGTTTCAACCTGGTGCTGTTCACGACCTGCACGTAGCCGCCTCAATATGGTGTCTTGGGAGGCAGTCGAGGTTTGACTGGACACGTGTTTCGCGCTAGCGGCAAGCGAAGACGGGATGGGGCAGGCTAGGCCGGCATCGATAAGCTTTGTGGGTCTGGTAGTGGAGGGCCGAGTGCGTGCATGTACATGTGCATTCGAATGTGCATCAAACCATCGTCCAGTGTCGTCTCGGGGGCTGGATTCCTGCGAGTTGAAGAGCATGTGCGTGCGGGGTGCATACAAGATGAATGGTTAACACGGCATGCTTCATTATTTTGTTCAATGATGGTGATACAATCAAATACACACTCGAGAAACGCGGTGGAGCACCGACCGGTGTGATGAATTGGCATTCGCAGGGATTCCCTGTCGTGCTCCATTGACACATGCGACTCCCTGTCGCTCCAGAATAATCAACAAACCCGAACGCCTCGCTATGCAATACAGAACCGTAACAGTGTCATCGCCCATCGTCCAGCTACTGCTCACCGTCTTCGACATCTTCAACAGTAACAGTCCGTCTTGTTGCAGTCTGGCCCTCAGAGCTGCTTCCAGCGACCGCAGAGCTTGAGCCTTCGGCCTCAGTCCTCTCTCCTACGTTACCAAAGCTCCAGCTTGACTCGAGAGAGCTAGGCTCTGCAGGCTTCGGCGAACGATTGGAGGGCTCATCGGAAGTAGTCGGGTTAGGAGTCGACGAAGCTGGCTGGTTTTGTGAGGCCGCGGGAGCGGACGTCGAAGGCCCTGCGTCAGGTTCCGCTACTGGCGGTGTTGTCTGAAGTTGAGGCGGTATCGAGCCACTCTCTGGCGCCGGATGTCCAGGTTGCGAGGATGGACGTGTCGCGCTTTCTTGGCTGTTCCGTGGCGCTAGGGCCATCGGCCTCAATGTCCACCCTTCCGGTAGCGTCAAGCCTTCAGGCACACCGGGATCGCCCTGTCGCAGAACGGACCCTCTGGCGAAGTAGGCTTGCGGTACGAACGAGTTCATGTTAGGTGGGTTCAATGGGGCAATAGGTGGTAGCTCTTGCCCTGTCGCGGCAGCCACGCCTGAAGCCTGCTGAAGCCTGTTGAGCTCAGCAAGAAGTCTATGGACAACCTCAAGTTGCTCGTGTTGTGCGTTGAGATGCCGCATCGACTCAATAATGTTCTGTTGTATGCGCAATATGTCGGACTGAATATCTGACGGATGCAGCGCGACGGCTCCGGGGATGGGGCCGGTGGGAAGGTTGGGAGTAGCCCATGGCGTGAAGCCCGTGTGGCCCTGTGCTTGGTTTTGATGATCTTGATTCTGCGCCGCGTTGTTTCCGTTGGCTTGCTCGCGCAATCGCTGAATCGCGTTCTGCACGGCGACATTGTCCTGTTGTCCTGGTGGTACGCGAATGTTCCCGAGAGCGATCCGAAATGGCCCGAAGTTGAACACGCGCATGTTGCCTGCTGGAGGATTTGCTTGTCCACCCTGTGGTGCAGGCTGCTGACCCTGGCCCTGGCCTTGTCCTTGTTGCCCTCCGACAGCACCTTGCTGCGCATTTCCTCCAAACATTGCTCGCAGTGCCTCTCGGTTCTGAAGGTTTTGCTCCCCCGGGTTGGCTTGATTGTTGCGTTGCGTAGTTTGTGTCGTCGCTGATGAGAGTACTGGCCTTCGGCACGTGGGACACACCTGTTGTCTCTCAAGCCAACTACGAAGACATCCGAAATGTAGGATGTGTCCGCAGGGGAGCTTCTTCGGCCGTTGTCGCTCGTCCATTCTTCGACCTGGCTGTGCACCGTCTGCGCCTGGTTGTGTCCACGGCCGCATCTCTTCGCGACAGACGATACATGTGTTCTCCCGCTCGAGTTCTTCTGCCGTCGCATCTGGATAGCGTGTGTTCATGTCGCGGGTCGCGTTTCGGTACTGGATGAAGTCGTGGATACGCTTGAGGAGGGATCGGATGGTCATGAACAAGTCTCTCATGATGTGGATTGGTATGCCGTAGAAAGTCATCAAAATGACGAAGAAGCCCAGGTAGACGAAGGACTTGACAAAGTCGGTCGCGAGATCCAAGTAGAATACCCAGCGACCCTTCTCTTCCCATCCGGGCACGTCGCCCTCGTCTTCATCGTCGTCTGCCTCAGCAGGCGCTTCAATTCCTTCTGCTGTAGCCTGCTGGCGTGCTTGTTCCCTTGCGATACGACGAGCCTCCTCTCGTGCTTTCTCTTGGCGGTGTGTAATGTATAGTTCGACGAGCGACAGTGCGTATCGTAGTAGGGTCGATATCGATGCGGTGGCCAGGAGGACGTATTCGAAGCCAAACATGACCATGACACCCGGCCGTGCCTCTGACAGGATTGAATCAATGCAGTACTGCATCATGAAGATGTCGAAGGCAACGGACAATAGCAAGGAGCTCATGAGGCGCGTGTGGAAGAGCTTTGGGTTTGCCGGAGGCTGTTGCTCGAGGAATTCGACTCTCCCCTCTCCGATCCACTGCCAGACCTTGCCTGCAAGCAAGCAGAGGAACATTGCGAAGAACCACATGCCGAGATCATCCCTGAATATGGTCATAGCCAGCAGTGTCTCGCTCACAGCGAACCAGGCCTTGTCGTACAGCTGCTCGGTCTCGATGGGGCGGAGGGGGCCGTAGAAGAGGCGTTGGAGTCCATAGCCGAAGCTCGCGGCGACGATGAGCATCAGATTGACGAGGAACATGAGCGAGCCGGTGCTCTGGGAGATGTAGACGGCGGCCGAGTAGAAGTTGGGGCGCTCGTAGTATGCGCGCATCAGCACAATGTTGGCCATGGCGGCCGAGCCCGCGACGTAGAGCTTGAGTCGACTCATGGTGCGGTGGTGAAGGTGCAAGGCGACTAGAAAGGAATGCGTGTCCCCATCTGAGGGTGATGAGAGCGAACACAACCGGGGAAGAGTCGCGTTCGCGTGATGCGGCGGTGCTGGGAGAAAGGAAACGTGGAGGCTCCGAGGGGAGCTTCCTGATTCGCCCGCCAGCAATGACGTCTCGCGGGCCCGCCACGGTCTCCCGAGATCGCGACTTCCACCTCATTCACCCATACACTCGCGTATAATGCCCTTGACATGCATCGCTCATCATTATATCTCAGATGATACTACTCTGCACTACTACATCCAGAAGATACAAAATGCTGGGGAGTGCATGCACCATGCCCACGTATCGTGGCACGCAATAGCGCGTATGCGTTCGACATCTATGGTACCCCATTCCATGCCGCCTTTCCATGGGACTGCTTGTTCCTCCGCACGAGCGTTCCTGCGCAAGGGCTGCACCTTGTACAAGGGAAAAACTGAACACCTAGGAGCCTACGTCGCCGTTAGGCCACCAACTTCGCAAGCTTTTATCTTGATGTAGGCTCTTGGGTGCTCGGTTTTTCCCTTGAATGGGGTGGGCTGCACGCTCCGAAGCTACCCCAAAGAGTCCGATGTCGTCCGGATTCTCCATAGTCAAGCCCTTGAGTATCCCCGCAGTAATACTTGGATCTCGGGAGAATACTCGGTAGCACAACAACCCATTGACTTACTAAGGACCGTTGTCGGTAATTTCCAGCCAAGCCACGTCGTGTATACAAGAAAAGTCTTCTTCGACTTGGACCAGGCGCAGGTATCACGAGCTTCATCGGAGAGTCTCCCGGACTTCGAGACTCGCTGCTATGTCACATCACGTTAGCAAACGTGCAAGAGATGACCGAGTGGCGCATACCAGCCTCTCCATGCATGTTCGAGAACGACACTTTCTTCTTTCCAGTACCGATTGTGGGGAACATGGAGAGCTGGTGCCGAATTTGCGGGGATCGTCATCAAGCTACTGCACCCAGCTTCGGGATTGCGCCAGCCCAGACCATAGGCTCGGGGCGCAAGCTCTTGGACTCAAATATCTTGATCACAAATGATCTTGGTGGACCCTGCTTGTTTACTGCGGAAAAGTACATAAACCTCCCATGGCTGCTGTTAGATTTGAGTATCGATCTGCAAGCTCATCATGTTTCGATCTCTTCCTCTCCTGAGCATTGCGCTTGGCAGCCTCTCCGCCGTCGGCGCACAGGAGGTGCCAGCTGTACTGACTGCCGATATCATCGAAGGCTTGGGCAACAACACTCTCTTCACAAGATGGCGCCCTACGTACCACTTCTCCGCACCGGCAGGATGGCTCAACGATCGTAAGTTTTGGCTGTACGAAGTGCATGTGAGACAAATACTGACTTCGTACCTCTATCTCTGTAGCATGTGGAATGATGTACGATCCTGCCACGGAGAGATATCACCTCCATTACCAGTGGCATCCCAACCATGTCAACTGGGGTAACATCTCTTGGGGTCATGCAACCTCCAAAGACATGATTACTTGGACAGATGTTGGAGGCTGGGAAGATGATCAGGCTCAGTCTGTTGGCACCGGTCCTTTTCCTGATTCCGACAACAGCAGTTACTATGGTCTTGGCATCTTCTCAGGCTCGGCACAGCCCTACAATCTCCAAGGACAGCAGGACGGTACTCTCATCGCCTTCTACACCTCCGTCCAGTATCTCCCCACAAACTGGGCCTTACCTTATATCAAGGGAACTGAGAGCCAGAGCATCGTCATCTCTAACGATGGCGGCGAAACCTGGGAGCAGTATGCTGGCAACCCTATTATGACCGAGCCACCCAGCGGATGGAATATTACCGGATGGCGCGATCCTTTCGTCGAGCCTTGGCCGGAGATGGATGCTCTTCTAGGACAAGAGGAGCCCCACTGGTATATGGTTCTTGGTTCTGGCATCAAGGGCGAGGGTGGCGGTGGCCGTATTCCCTTCTACAGCGCTCCCGCCAGCAACTTGACAGACTGGACTTTCCTTGGCGCTCTGTGGGAGCCCGAGAGGAACGAGACTCTTGGCTCTTTGCTTGAGACCGGAACCTATGGCTTCAATTTCGAAGTGTAAGCCAGTATCCGTTCGCTGCAATCGCTCGTGTACTGATTTTACAGATCGAACTTTTTCTCTTTGACCGATGAAGATGACGACGTTCATTACTACGTTCTAATGGTAAGTTCCGGCCGTGGCGGCTACATGTGACACATGTACTGACTTCGTGCTTCCTACAGGGTACTGAAGGCGGCAACCTTACCTGGCATCCACGTGCACAATGGGGCCTGTGGAATGAAGGCCAGGTCAACAGAAGGGACAACGGCTCTGTTGAGTTCACCCCTCTGTCGGGCGGCGCCATCGACTCCGGTCTTCTCTACGCGGTTACCAGCTTCTGGGATTCAAAGAACGACCGTCGCGTCCAGTGGGGTTGGGCCAACGAGGAGAGCAACAACTTTGCGATCAACCAGATGGGTTACCAAGGTGCCATGGCTATCCCTCGAGAGATGTACGTCATCAAGACCAAGGACCTGGTCAACACCAATGGCGGTCTGACTACAAAGGGCAACACTCGTGTTGAAGAACACAGTGATGGTACCTTCACTGGATACACCCTAGGAGCTCGTCCCCTACCTGAGGTTGTGGAAGGCTTCCACGCTGGAGCTGAGCCCCATGTCATCGAGACTGGCGACAATGCCTGTGTCTCCGGCGCGATCTCCGGCAATGGGAGCAGCCACATGCACCTCCAGGTTTCGCTTTCTGACTTCACTGGACCTGCCGGTGTTGTCATTGCCCAATCACCCGGACACGAGGAACAGACTATAGTTTGGTATTCTCCAGAGAACTACACCATCAACGTTGACCGCTCGCACTCATCTTCCATCGTTGAGTTTGCCAACTACACCATGCTGGGATTTTTCTACCCATACACATTCTCCAACGGTACCACCGAGTCTCTTCACATGGACATCTTCGTTGACGGATCTCTCGTAGAAGTCCTTGTCAACGACCGCTTCTGGCTTACGACTCGTATCTACCCTGCTCGTACCGACAGCACTGGATTCGGCATCTGGGCTGGCAACAACTCTACTGTCAAGGCTTCCGACATGAAGGTCTGGAACATTGAGACAAACGCCTTCCCAGCTAGGCCAGTAAACTCGAGCAGTGAGCTTGTATTCGATACGCCAGAGGAGACCAACAACTACATTTGGTGGCCTGGAAACTAGGGGGACTGCGACCTGAATGCGCGCGACGCAGTAATGACATGAATAACGGCGCTCTATTCCGCGACGGACGATGCGGATATAAGGGTAAATATTGTATGTAGAATGTAATAATATGCATACCAATCATCGCAATCATCTTCCAAGTCCCATGAATTAGTCATCTCCCATCGAAGGAGAATATCCGTCGTGCCGTAGTGCAGCGCGTTACCCGTTGTCAAGATCTTGCCGCGATCTTTGTCGCCAATAAACCAAAGGTGCGCGTCCGCGGAAGAGAAACACGGGGCCGTTGCTGGTGGCTCTCGGACAGTTGAAATACCCGGAAATAACCTAGTCTTCGCAGCGCCCTGGCCTTTTCTCCTACTCGGTCTAGGTCGTGGTAACAGCGGGCCTTAGGATTTCCGATGTTCTCGTTAGTACGAGAGGATTCCCCGCCGGCTTCCCCAAACAGCTTGCCCCGCAGGATATCTCCAGGGCTTGCACTTCTGGGGACGGCACGTGTAGCACCCTGAACGGGCACATGGCTAATCGTCCACCGGATAAATTGGCATTACTGCCGTTAGCAGCATTACGCCTACCGTCGGTGGCGTTAAGAATCGCATGAGGGCGGTAATAGGATATCCATTCCCAGGTGCATAAATACGTTCTTGAATGTTCACTTACGACATATAAGCTTGACTTTGTCTCCCGTATCGACCAAACGAAAACAACATCGCAGTACATACGATACTCGAATAAACTATTATACGACACAATGGCCAACGCAGAGGAGCAATACAAGCTCTCGCAAGAGCAAATCGACTTCTTTCTGGAGAACGGATGGTTGAAGTTGAGCAACTGCTTCACAAGAGAGCAAGCAGAAGGACTGCAGGAAACGCTCTGGACACGATTGGGTATGGATCCCAAAGACAAGTCGACATGGTACGCTTTTCTTCTTCAATTATAAGTCTCTTACGTGCAGCCATCAACAGACATTGACATGACGGATACAGGCACACCGAGCGAACAAACATGCCCTTCTTCAACGAATTCTCTGTCGAAGAGTTTGCACCAAAAGCCTGGGCTGGAATTTGCAACCTTGTGGGTGGCAGCGACCGCGTTGATTCTAACGCATCGACTTGGAAAGATGGCTTCATCGTAAACCTCGGAACGCCAGAGGGTCACAACAAAGTGGTACGCCCTCAAGAGCTACCTGGCTGGCACGTCGACGGAGACTTCTTTGTTCACTACCTCGATTCACCTGAGCAAGCGCTTCTGGTCATCCCGCTATGGTCAGACATCGCTCCAGGCGGTGGTGGAACCTACATTTGTCCTGCCGCCATTCCCACTGTGGCGAAACATCTATACGAGAATCCTGACGGAGTCAGCCCAAGGATGACGCCAAGAGCGCAAAACCCGGAGTTTGTACAAGAGCAAGGACTGAAGTGGTTCAACGACCTAGCTGCCAGTATGCCCGATGAGGCTTTCGTGGAAGCCACCGGTGTAGTTGGCGACGTCTACCTTTTGCATCCGCTGATGCTGCACTCAGCGTCCAACAACCAACTTCGTCAAGTCCGCGTCATTACCAACCCACCGGTGTCCGTCAAGGAGCCTTTTGTGTTTGATCGTGTCGATGGAAACTACAGCGCGGTGGAGCGCAAGACCATGAAGGCGTTGGGCAAGGACCGGATTGAGGGGTTCAAGATTACTGGAAAGAGGCAACCAGTTATCCCCGAGCGATTGCGAATTCAAGAAGAGATGAAGA